TTGCTACTTGAAAGGAAAACAACTGACATTGGTACTGATAAAATTTGGGCTTTCAGACCGAATGTGGTGGCTCATACCTATAATCCTGACACTTTCGGGGGGCCTGTATTTTTTTTTGAAATGGTCTCACTTGGTCACTCTCGGTAGAATGTAATAGAGTGCTGTGGCTTCTTAGCTCACAGCAACCTCAAACTCTAGGGCTCAAGTGATTTCTTGCCTCAGCATACCAAGTAGCTTAGACTACAGGTGCCTACCACAACACCCAGCTATTTCTTTTTTTGTTTTTTGCAGTTTTTTACAGGGACAGGTTTGAACCCGCCACCTCCGGTATATGGGGCCGGCGCCCTACTCTTTGAGCCACAGGCACTGCCAAACACCCAGCTATTTTTTAGAGATCGGGTCTTGCTCTGGTTCAGGCTGTTCTCAAACCTGTGAGATCAGGCAATCCACCACCTCAGCCTCCCAAGTGCTGGGATTACAGGCATGAGCCACCACACCTGGCTGCCAATAGTCTTAAGACCAGCCTGAGCAAAAGGAAGACCCCATCTCTACAAAAATTGAAATAAGTAGCCACTTGTGGCGCCACACTCTTGCAGTCCCAGCTACTCAGGAGGCTGAGGCAAGAGGATCTTTTAAGTCTAAGAGTTAGAGGTTGCTCTGAGCTATGACAGCATGGAACTCTCTACCCAGGGTGACAGAGTGAGTCTCTGTCTAAAAAAAAAAAAAAAAAAAATGGCCAGCAAGATGGCTCATACCTGTAATCCTAGCACTCTGGGAGGCTGAGGTAGGTAGAGTGCTTGAGCTCATGAATTCGAGACCGGCCTAAGCCAGAAAAGACCTTGTCTTTAAAAATAGCCAGGCGTGGGCAGCACCTGTGGCTCAAAGGAGTAGGGTGCTGGCCCCATATACTGGAGGTGGTAGGTTCAAACCCAGCCCCTGCCAAAAACTGCAAAAAAAAAATAAAAATAGCCAGGTGTTGTAGTGGACACCTGTAGTCCTAGCTACTTGGGAGGCTGAAGCAAGAGAATTGCTTAAGCCCAAAAGTTTGAGGTTGCTGTGAGCTGTGACACCATACCATAGCACTCAAGGGCAACAAAGTGAGGCTGTCTCAAAAAAAAAAAAAAAAAAAAAAACCCTCATGTAAAGGTCCTATACATTCAGCTGTTCAGCTAAGTGGAAAGAGCAAACCTCCAACAAAGGCAGCACTCATTTTCTGAATCCATCTTCCAGGATGAAATCAGAAAAAGTTGCTTAAAAAAATCTGGCGGCTCGGCACCTGTGGCTCAAGTGGCTAAAGCACCAGCCACGTACACCCAAGGTGGCAGGTTTGAATCC